GGTGTATGAAATCTTTTGGAACTTTTCAAAAAAATGTTAACTTTTAACGTATTTTAACAAATATAAAAGTCAATATTCAACTAAAATTCTAGCGAACATAAATATTTCTCGTTATAATCAATAAATTAATTTCAAAAGCACTTAACGAGGTCAAATGAATGATTATGTCCCTAGCCGATATGGATACATTGCTAACTCGAACAAAATATGTAAATGACAAGATATAAAAAAGCACTTGTAACAGAACTGCGCTTTCGTACGTCGATTTTGTAAATGAGTAAACGACACGAGGGGACAGATAAATCTTCAATTTTTTCGTGCAAATAGAAGGAAACGAAAAAAAAAAAGAAAAAAAAAAAAAGAAAAAAAAAAAAGTAATATTACCTGGGGCTATTTCTGTCATTATTTATTGAAACTTGCATTCTTGAAATCGCTAAAACGGAAACGAAACTCTATAATGCGTCTGGCAATCATTGTCTGCCAGTAAAGTTAAAACTTAAGTTTATTTATCGATCTTGTAATACATTCTGCTATTCGAAGACGTTTAGCTTGTCAAAGAATTTTGTCTATCTCAACCGAAAATCGACATTTGGCTCTTCTTCGAACGTAGAACATTAAAAATAAAATTATACAACAACGATAAATCGAGAAATCGAGCATAAAAATACTTGAGATGTATGGAATTGTAAAATTGCCGGATAGAAAGCTACGATTAATGATTCATAAATTTGTAAGACATGACAAATAATCTTTCTAATCTATTTGAAATACGATTAATGTTACGTGTTGAATATGATTGAATGCCAATGTGACCAACGACACCTATTGCATTCTCAGCAAAGCAAATATTCGAAAAATCATTCGACGAAGTTGTCAGACCACGTTAAACAACGATTTTTGTTTATTGAGTGAGCTGCGGGAATCTAATGCTCCATGTAACATTCTAAATAATATTGCCGAAATTCGTTCGGCTAATGAGATGAAATTATCAACAAAAAAAAAAAAAGCAGAGCGACGTACAAAGTGTCCAATCATACGCTTTATCGCCATTCAATAAAATACATCTGATCTATTACATCTTTATAAAGTCACGCGTATAACATTAAAACTATTCCATCTCTATGTATTCATTATATTAAAAAATTAACGTTATTAAATTTATTATTATTTAAACAATCGATGATAATAAATAGATAAAGTAGATAATGTCATTGGGAGCTATCTCTATTCTCTCCATTTTCATCATCCCAAGCTCGCTCTCAATACCTCATTCTCACATCCGAGGGCCTGAATTATTTATATTTACATTAACAATGCTCGCAAATATAGCGTAAGAGAGAGAGCATCGGAAGCTCAGCGTTTAATTGAGACAGGAAGCAGGAGACTCGGCATGCATCTAGGCTCGTCTGGGAATTCCCAGCTTTATCCGACCACCTAAACGAGCGCTTTCTAGGTCCGAGTGGCTTAACCCACCCTCCCTCCTGCTCTATTTTTCATCTAAGGAGTCCCCCACCCCATCCCCTACCATAACAAATTGCCTCGTCTCTCGCGAGCGTGGGAAATCTGCTGCTGCTGCTGCTGCTGCTGCTGCTGCTGCTGCTGCATCTGCAACTGCTTCTCGCGTACGGCTAAGCTAAGAAAAATAATCAGCTTACGCGAAACGAGTGCGCAGGCTGGCGAAAGTCTAGCGAAAGTCTAGCGATCCTTTCCAACATCTTCCTCCTCTCCCTCTTCCCATCTACCCCATTACCCCTCTATCCCTCTATCCCTCTATCCGTCCCTGTATTATGGCTCGCGCGCAATTACTTTACGACTCCACGACCAACTAACAAGGGCTATTATAAATATATGTATATAAGTACAAAGACACGCATTGGCTACGATTGTGATGCCAAGCTCTATTTCACTCTATTTCGCGCTCTCCCGATGTAAGGGATTTCCCTTAGGAGGATCTATCTCGACTATATCTTAAAGTTAATATATTCTTAGTTATTTGCGTGGTATTTTGCCAGCTCCATTACGAGATAATATTGAACTCGAGTGAAACACCACGGAAAATTAGACTTTACGCGTAGAGCTTACGGATTTATTCTATTAATTAAAAATTCATTCCTTGGACTTGCTTGGCAAATTTGGTAGCGCAGACGATCTAGCAATGAAATTATACGCTCTCCCATAAATCAGTGATCCCGACATATCGTTACAAGCTCTAGTTAAAGTCCAAGAGTTCCAATTGCTGTGCAGCAATTACAAAGCCATATGAACCAATGAAAGACTATGCGATTAATGCAATTGTACTCGGTTTCGTAAGAAGTCGCAAATTTTCTTCAAATATTTCCCGATTCAAATTCAAAACCTATCGATCGTAGCATACCATTCAGTTGTCACTTGCAATGTCATTCCGACATTCGCAATCCAAACAAAATTCACTCTTCATTTCATATTTCATTAATATACTAATAATAATAAGGATGCGTCTTCTTTTGACAGTCGTATAGTCTATTGTAACAATTAACAATTAATCAATTTCAAGATATTGTTATTTAAAAAAAAAAAAAAAAAAAAAAAAAAAAAAAAAAAAAAAAAAAAAAAAAAACGACAGGAACAAACGAATGCGCCGATTACGTCATCTGACAAATAAAGATTTAAGATGGCATATTATATGTTGGTGACACGGACGCAGCATTCATTTAACAATCGCGAATGTCTATGTTATTAAATGTTTTGCATTGCCTTACGTCGCCAACTAGCTAAAAATTGCAAAATTGCCAACCAATTTTAAAGGAAAACGAGATGAAATTCAATTTACCTTGGCTTAATAGAGCAGGCACAATGAATAATCGGTCGCAATTGAATTAATGAGCAACGCGAGAATCGAAAGCCACTGCCGTCTAGAAGGCAAAGGTAAGCTTTGAGCTTATTGTTACCGATCGCCTGATCACGCACCACAACAACCTCATTATGACAATGCAATTTTTGCTCCCTGTTACAGTGCAACGCGGCGGTTGGCGTAAAAGCCTTCTTTGACATGATGCACAGTGGTCCGCACAAAGTGATGCTCTTCGGCGCCGCATGCACGCAAGTCACGGATCCCATCGCCAAGGCATCCAAGCACTGGCGACTCACGCAGGTACGTAATAAAATAAGCCTGCTAATTGCGAGGATCGTGCCCCGGCTGCTTCATTTACACCAACAAAGCCGCGCTCTGTCTGCCTACTATCCCCACCGCCCAACACACTCTTCCCCAAAAGCACGTCGACCTCATTTCCCAAGTGACGCCGGTCGACTAATAATGCGCCCGATACCTTTGCTCCAGGCCCTTCCCTTAAAGCCCGTATTGGCTATTGATTTCCTTTTATCCACTTTTTCCACATTCGACCGGCAATTTGTCAATTTTTTTTTCCCCTCTGTTTTTCCTCTCAATCTCTTTCTTAATCGCGTAGTCATCGATGCTGATCGATGCCGATAACGTGCAATTTCTATTCCAAGTCGTCGCGAGCTGCCTCTCCCTACCCATTATTTTTATCCCTCTGCTTCGATAGTTTTCATTTTGATGACGCGTTGGGCATTGTAAAAATGCATTGGTGAGAGTTGATGGAGCAGTCGGATAAATAGATAAGACCTCAGAAGTAATCGCGACAACAAACAATCGCTTCGTTGTCTTTACATAACTCTGTCTTAATAACAGACACTTTGTAGCGTCGACTTTTTGAATTCCTCGGCTCCCTTCGCGAATATTTAAACGGTCCTTCTACACAATCGATACTCCAAGTAAGAGCAAACTTATACAAATTCAAGGTAAAGATGAATAACGTTTGTAAGATCAATGCGAAAGATTAAGTCCGGATGACGAACAATTCGAACGACGATATAACCGAAAAAAGAAAGAGAAAAAGGGAGATATTGATTGGCGATGAATAGCTCGAGTTAAATTCACAGTGGTTAGATAAGATACGGGGAATGTTATTGCTAATGGCACTGGCTCGAACGTCACGAGCATATCGTTTCCCTGAATAGCCCTGAATATAAATTTCCCAAACAAATTTCACAACTAATAAAGAACTTGATTAATAATAGATAAAAATATTGTGAGAAAAAGTGTTTGATAATCGTTCTCTCTCTCTCTCTCTCTCTCTCTCTCTCTCTCTCTCTCTCTCTCTCTCTCTCTTTCTTTGTTTTTTTTTGTGCTCGTATGTTTTGGGTATATACTGTATATACTGTAACGATAATAATTGATACAATTGTTGAATTTGCACGAATTTGCACGAATTTGTACTCGTAGCAGGAATATTAAATCTTTTCAATACATAATAATAGAAGAGTAGAGTCAGTGCAACGTACGGTAGTTACTTAATTTTCATAAGCAAGTTATTAATAATTTTCTGCATAAAATACGAGCAGAGTGTATAAATCTCTCGAGGTTCGTAAGCTTCTCGAATTACTCGGGAGATTGTTACCTGGAAATTCATATAAATGTCGAGGTATTTGTCGATGTACCTATTTAAGGCTCTTTTCAATTACGATTATTCCTCGGTGGATTTTAGAAATTGCAAAGTCCCATTTGCCGGATACGCGCCACGTATGCGCAAAAATGTGAAGCAAAAAGTGTTAAGAGGAGAAAAAAAGCCGATGGCTGTCACGCTCACTTGCCCAATTCCAATTAAATAGTTGAGAAAAAATTAATGTGCACGGCCGAGCCGCTTAGAAAGTACGCCTCGCTTTACATTTACATATTGATGGAAGGATAAATGCGATAGTCCTTCTTTCTTTTTGTTTAACAATGAGGCTGTAAATAATTGTGAGATGGAATCGATTTGTTTATCATCGGTAGGCTCAACATTGTCCAGAGGATCTGTGCAAAAATGAATATAAATTGTATGCGATATTTCATCGATATGGGGCTTATATTATCACCACAGTACTATCGAATGAAAAAAAAAAAAAAGAAAAAAAAAGAAAAAAAAAGAAAAAAAAAAGAAGAAAATTAAACATTTTTTCAATTGCCTACTTCGTAATTTCTTAGCTGGATTATTTGCCTATTTGTGCTTTTAGCCTTTTCGTCAAAATCCATACACTTTGAATATGATATCTGACGTTCTGTTAATATTGGAACCTATTAAATTCACAATAAATAAATCATGCAAACGAAACGAAATTACGACATAATTGTCTATTAATTACTAAAAATTACACGTGAAATTTGTTTAATACACTACGTTTTTAACCAGATGACTTTCCAAAGTCAAGCTCATAAAAGTCTTGAATATAATGGCAAAATTAATTAAGAAGCTAATTATACCATCAAGATTTCATTATCAAGCGAGCGAATAAAATTTTAATAGACTTCTATTCGACATAAAACTCATAACTTCCTTAAGCCTATTATTATTTTGAAATATGAAAATGATAATGAATTTTAATCAAATTTAGGACGCTTCTCTAATAATCTAATAATCAAGATCTCCATACGTAAGAGCGATAAGTATCCGTCTTGCAGAACAAAGTAAGGAAGAAAAAGTAATATCACGCGCTATTAAAACCGACTCCCGTGGAAATCACGATATTCCAGGAGCAGCGGCGTGTAATTTAAGTATACTTAAGTACGAATAATAGTTGAAACGATGGCAAAATAAAATCATCGATCGCTTGTCTCAAGTTGTCTTCTTAGGCTCGCTCGCTCGCTCGCTCGCAGTGTATCCCTTGGTAGTTCCTATAGATCCGGCGCCATCGACACGACCTCAGCACCTGCACTCGCGCAAATTGAAAAGCGACCGTCCGACAAGTCCCCGACTATCCTCTCCTCCTTAAGGCTGGCCAATGTGCCCGTCGAGGCGCACCGCCCAGCGTTAGAATCCAGCATCGATTCTGTCCTGTGTATGCTGCCGACGGGGTCAAAGTGCCAGTCACTAATTTACGAGGAACTTTAGCAGGAAGTAGTGGCGAGAGGAAGCGTACGGGCGGGCGCCCGAGCTATATAACCTTCTCTTGGATATTGGCACTCGAGGCACTTTCTCGGCTACTTTTATCAGGCCCGATATTAATTTCGGCTGGGCCTCCGTTTTATCTCCGATGCTTTAAGAGGACGAGGCTGAGCCACTATCGCCGGCTCTTTTAACGATCACTTTGATCCAGCTACATAGGTCCATCCAGCTCCTAGGCTACCTTCAGTCCTTGAATTATCCTCGCAATTGCCTGCTCAGAATAAAGATGATTGTACAATAGATGAAGATAGGGAAAGTATCTCGGCCAATTTAGAGACAAATACGTGCTTCTTTAGACAAATTTGCATACATTTAACAGAATACAGCTTATGCAATCGTTACTTTCTATCCAACAAATTACTATTTAATAATTTTTCTGTCTTCTTCTATATATATATATATATATATATATACATAGAAAAATTACTTTTTCATTGTTAGTCCTTTATTGTCTTTGTTCTAGCAAACGTCATAACGCCATTGTATGTAAAACGTGTCCTGAAAAGGAAAAAGTCGCTTTAAGCTAAGCGCTGCTTAAACTATTTCTGGTACTGTTCAAAAGAATTATATGGAAATTATTTAAATAATATATATATATATATATATATATATATATATGTGTGTGTGTGTGTGTGTGTGTGTGTGTGTATGTTCCTATCCACTTAGAAGTAGTGGTATTCATCAAATGTGAACATATCTACTCGATACATAATCCTTCTTCATCCGCTAGTGACGCTGTACTCTAATAGTGAATGAAAAGCTTTGCTAATGTCGCATACTTTCCAATGAATGCAAAACTTGAAAAATTAAAATTCAAACGAAGCATTTAGCAAATCAAAGTAAAAGCTCCAAATATAATAACTTATTTTTATAAAAAATTATTGAGGTAATTTTGCTAATTTTTAAATGACATTAAAAAAACTTCTATTTAGATTCTCATAGCGAGTCGTTTGAAAATTATACGAATGAAATATTAGAGACATAATGTGTGAATTAAATTTGTAATTTAATAGCATTTAATATCATTATATTATACAATTTGCAATAAAAATTCCATTTATTTAAGAAATTATTTTAAAATTAAATTAAAATTTTTAAATATTACATGGTAAACAAAATTATAAGCTTTGAATTATGCCACACTTGAAATATTTTCTTATTGTTTATATATACATATATATATAAATTGGTCATTAATTTTATCTTCGTGACATATTACGAAAATTAACTATTATCTATAATATAGTATAAATTGCGAATTATTAAAAACTATATTGTATTAATCAATCAAATTTAAACAGCATTAATTTGTATAATTTTAATATAATATTTATTCATCAATGATTCTGAATTATATAGATAGACAAACTCAATTGCTAAAAGCATTTTATCAATATCAAATATTTTTTTTATAAATGTATTCGTATCTGTATTGTCCATCACATTTAATTAACATGGCTAATAATTGTGTTTTCAAAGATTAATTCAATCAATCTTATTATAATATAATTTGTAAGTATATCATAATTTGCAAATTTTTCATTCAATGTTTGAGTTTGATAATGGTTGGTCTGTTTTATTTTTATTTTGCTAATTATTGATCAATATGATATATAAATATACATATATAAATGGTAATAATTAATGTTGATAAGAAAAAAAAAAAAAAAAAAGTGAAGGACATACAAATAAATAGATAAGAATCGAGCTTTATTTTTAAACTATTATAATATTACTTAATTAATATAATTATCTACATTTAACTGCAATATTATTAATAATGTGAATGAATTTATAAATAATTCTATATTTGTGTGATGTTTCACAAAATGTATATTCCTTATATAACTGTAATCTAGAAATGCATAAGGCATATTCCAAGCATTTACCGATAAAAACTGAAATGTAGAGGGAAATGCAACTGAAATTCAAAATTGAACTGAATAAACCATAGTACAGAAAGGTTACAGTAATGGAAAAGAGATTCGTAGAAACAGAAATATTCAAGTTCATGCGTATAATGTTAAGAATATAAGTGTGCCAAAGAGAATGTAGATGCTCATACTAAAATCAGGCTAGCATTTGTTTAGAAATATTTATGTTTGTAAATATATGTTTACCACCCACATTCAACAACTCAGTATGAAAA